TGCAGGCCATGGAGGAGTGCTCCTTACTGACTTGCTCCCCATGGCTTTCTCAGCCTGTGTTCTTATACAGCCCAGGCCCACCTGCCCAGGGGTGGCACCACCCACGGTGAGTTGGGCCCTCCCAAGTCAATCATCAATCAAGAAAATGCCCCACAGACTTGCCCACAGGCCAGTCTAATGAAGGCATTTCCTCAATTGAGAGTCCTGTTTCCCAGGGGACTATGGCTTGTAGCAAGCTGTCAAAAAACCAACCAGCATGGTAAACATAAATTTAAAATATTGTTTTACTTTGATGGGTAGTATGTATGTGCTTGAGTGTGTACGTGTGCATGTTGGTGCCCCCTGGAAGCCAGAAGAGGACATTGCATGCCCTGGAACTGAAGTCATAGGTTGTGAGACTGTACGTGGATACTGGGAACCAAACTTGGTCCTTTACAAGAGCCGCGAGTGCACTTAACTGTTGAGCCGTTTCTCAGTCCTGTAAAAATAACTTTTGAATGCATTGGGAAGAAATCGTGTAATTGACTTTATTGTAATGGCCTGCAACCAAACTTGCCATGTCCCCAAGCGGTGCCGGTGTAGTTGAAGAAACATTTGTCAATTGGTATCTCAGCCTCTGTCATTACTGATCATCTGCTTACACACTGAGTTTGACATGTGAGAGGAGTGCTTTGCTCTCTTTGATAGTTTCTAGGACCAAAGCTCCAAAAGTAAGGGGTCTGGGAGGTGCTGACCCCGATGCTCTGCCGGGTGGGCAGTCGAGCATTCATCTACAGTGCTGGCCTAGGAGACTCTGACCAGCTGACCTGCCTCTTGCATTTTGCCACCGTTGGTGATGACCTAACTGATCAGCGGATGCACCATAGCTAAGCGACTGCCAGGAAGCAGTCAGTGAAGGTATGAACCCCGAGAGTGGGAGCTGACAGCGCACAATACAATGTGCAGCAAGAACAGCACTGAAGCCCCAACTCACCCTCCAAGCTGGCCCAAGCTTTCCGAGAGTGATGCTGTGGGCCCATAATGGAGCATGGATTCACAGCAACAGACATGTATGAGGGAGGTTAGAGCTCTGTCTGTGAGGACATACTGTGTGGCACAAAGCAACAATCGCTGTCTTTTCTGCTTTGGAGTATAAGGAGGAACTCAGTCCCTTTTGGTAGAGTATGGGCTCCCTCTGCTGCTGACAGGAGACAGCCAGGGCTTTGCTGCCTGGGGACTCGAGGATATTTAAGCGGAGAAGGTGAAAAGAAGGATAGGGGTAAGCATGGTAGAGGGACCAAAGGGTGCTGTAAGCATTGCCCCTGTGCGCTCGGGGATTGCTGTCCACCTGTGTTCATACCAAAGGCGTTTCCCATCTTTTTCTTCCTCCCTTCCCTCCCTTCCTCTCTCCTTCTTTCCTGTGTGTGTGTGTGTGTGTGTGTGTGTGTGTGTGTGTGTGTGTGTGTGCTGTATGTCAATATCCTCCGAATTCCTCTAGAGGGAAGGCTCACGAGACTCTGGGGATGTGTCAGTTACTCTTTGTCACCGTGATAAAACACTATGGCCCAAAGCAACTTGTAGAAGAAAGAGTTTATTGGGGCTGTGGTTCTGGGGGAGTCAAAAATGGCATGGCTGTCTGTGACTGCAGCAAGAAGTGTAAGGATCCCGTTCTCAACCAGGAACATGGAACACAGACACCAGACATGAAGGTGGTGAGGCTATAAATAAAAAAAGCCCACCCCAGTGACGTACTTCCTCTAGCAAGACTCCACCTCCTAAAGGTTCCATATAACCTCCCCAAACAGTGCCACCAACTGGGACCAAGTATTCAAATGCACAAGTCATTGGGGTATGTTTCTCATTCCAACCACCACAGAAGTAAACAAAATGTCACATGTCTGGGAAAATGAAAATTTGGAAGATTCTGGAAGGCCCTTCCCCACTAAAACAGCTGATGGGAGGGGAGACTCTCACTGGATAAGCTGATTTGGTTGGGAGAGGAGATTTCTGGGGCCTAGACACTGTCTGCAAGTTGTGCAGAGAGCACCAGGGGTGTAGCTTTCATGAGCCCTCGTCACCCACGCTGGAGCACCTTCTCGGTGACGGTCTGCTTTGTGAGTCAGCCCCATTCCTGGAAGCAACCCTCACACACACTCATGTGCATAACCCCAGGAAAAACGCGAAGGTTGACAAAGTTGGACTTTGGTGTAATCATAACTTTGGTCTGTCTTTATGGTTCCCTTTCTGGGCTGATTAGATATGTGTGTGCTGTATCTTCCTAGGGGAAATCTGTCACACAGGAGTGTACTTGTGTGTTCCTGTGCACACGTGTGGAAGCCAGAGGTTGACATCGGCTGTTTTCCTCTGTTACTCTTCACTTTATTTTTGGAGACAAGAGTCTTCTGCTGAACTTGGGGCGCTGCACTGTGGTCAAAGTGGCCCTCCAGCAAGTCCCAGGGACCTGTGTCTGCCCCCAAAGCTGGGGTTCTAGGCTGAATTCAGCTTTGTATGTGGGTAGAGGGGATATGAACTCAGGTCCTCACACTGTGTGTCAGGCACTTTACAGACTAAGCCATTTCTCAGCTCCAGATGCCTGCATTCTGACCTAGTTAATAAGTGGTGTCCTTTACCAAGGTGACAAGCAATGGAAGGGCTGGCTAGTGAAGAAGTCAAGGGTCAGTTTGGAGTATGTTGTTTCTGTAACTATGATACAACAGAGAGAGCCGGGCAGTGGTGGTGCACGCCTTTAACCCCAGCACTCAGGAGGCAGAGGCAGCTGGATCTCTGAGTTCGAGTTCAGCCTGGCCTACAGAGCAAGTTCCAGGACAACCAAGGCTACACTACAAAGAGTTTGAGAGGGGATTTGTTTGAGAAGGATTAGGAGGTGTGTCTTGTTGGAGGAGGTGTGTTACTGAGAGCTCAGCTTTGAAGTTTCAAAATCCCAAATCAGTTCAAGTTAGCTCTTCTGCCTCATGATTATTGTGGAAGGATGTGAGAGCTCAGCTACCGTTCCAGGGCCGAGCCTGCCCGCCTGCTTATTGTCATGGGATGGTCATGGACTCTAATCCCCTAGAATGGTGAGCTCCAAATGAAAAGCTTTCTTTTATAAATTGCCTTGGTCCAAGTATTTTGTCATAGCAGTAGAAAAGTAACTGTCTTGGTTAGGGTTTCTACTGCTGTGAAGCGACACCATGGCCACAGCAACTCTTATCATGGAAGGCATTTAACTGGGGCTGGCCGACAGTTTCAGAGATTTAGTCCGTTATCGCCATGGCAGGAAGCATGGTGTAGCACAGACAGACATGGTGCTGGAGAGGCAGCTGAGAGTTCTGCATTTGGATCAGCAGACAGCAGGAAGAGCGACACTGGGCCGGGCTTGAGCACTTGAAACCTCACAGCACCAATGACAGGCTTCCTCCAAGAAGGCCACGCCCACTCCGACAAGGCACGCCCACTCTGACAAGGCCACACCTCCTAATTGTGCCACTCCCTATGAGCCTAGGGGGGCCATTTTCATTCAAACCACCACAGTGACTCAGACAGCCCAGGATCAGCAATTCCACCACCCGTGGATATAGATTTAAAATAACTGAACGCAGGAGTGCAGGCAGGCACTTATATACCAATATAGATAAGAGCTTTACCTACAACAGACAAAAAGTGAAAACAAGGCAAAAAGGCAAAACTGATGGATCCATCTAACATGCTTTATGCAGTAAGCGTGTTCAGCCACTAATGAAATGGAGGGAGAACCGGTTTGCTTGAAGACAAGGTCTCACTCTGTAATGGCAAACTGGTCTCCAATTTTAGATCCTCCTGCCTCAGACACCCCTGGGTTGGCAGAGTTTATAGGCATACACCACCAAGTCCAACCAGGAATGAAGTTCTGTCACATAGTACATCATGGATTAAAATCTTGAAGGTTATATGATTAACCAAATATGCCAGTCACAAATCGATAAACATTGTATGAGTAGGCAAATTTATAGAGACAGGAGTGTTGTTTGTTTTGTGATGGGAATAGGGGGAAGTAATTACTACTTAGGGAATGGAGTGCCAGTCTGTGACGATGAAAAGGTTATATAGAGAGTGATCTTTGCTCAACAGTGTGGATGTGGATTCAGTGGGTTGGAGAGGTGGTTCAGAGGTTAAAAGTCTGTATCACTTTTCCAGAGGCCCACAGTTTGATTCCCTGTCAGGAGGCTCACAATTGCCTGGAACTCCAACTCCAGGGATCCCACACTAGGTCCTCCAGCACACACACACACACACACACACACACACACACACACACACACACGATTTTTAAAAATTATGAAAATGGTTAGGTATATTTTGGCATAATTAAAATACGTACACCTCAAGCAAGTCACAGGCTTGGAGAATTGGCCTTTGTTTGTTTGTTTTCAGCCACCCCACCCCATATGGAGCCCTCCACTTCAAAATCAGGGTGTGTGTGTGTGTGTGTGTGTGTGTGTGTGTTGCCAGAGTTCACACACTCACAGCGTCTTCTCGGCGTGGGGCTAAGGCAGACAGGGTATGGATTAAGGAGCTTACACTTTGCTGCAGCGCCCCATCGCCAATCACTAGGGATCACTTGCACCCCCATCCCAGCCTCAACTACACTTGGTCTAAACTTTGCTTTTGCTAGGCTTGTTTATGGCCAGTTAGTCTCTTCCACTTTCTCCTCACAGTTAGGCATCTCAATCCACTACAAATCAAATGGTTTTTTTTAGTGTATGTAAAAAATGTGCAACCATTGCCACAACCCAGTTGTTAGAACATTTCCAACCCCCACTTCGCCTTTCCAAGACCCCGCGTCTCACCACGGAAGCTACCAGTGAATTGCACTGATTATCCTTGCTAGTCGATGTCTTATAACTAGACGACTTTTTTTTGGGGGGGGGAGGGTAAGAAGCACCCCCTTAGAGCGGCTCGGCGCCTTTTATCATCGAAGGATCGGTCCTCTGCAAGGCGCCCTGGCAGGGGCGGGGCAGCCGTGGCTCAGGACTCGATTGTTGATGCCTGAGTGCCGCACGCGCCTGCGCGGTAGCGGGAGTCGTGCTCTTCGGGCTGAGGAGATTCCTTCCGAGTTTACCGGGGTGCAGGTG